CTTCTACTTCAATATCTTGGAATATAATATAATTATCAATTTTAGATATTAATTTTTGCGATATAATTTTTATAAATGTATTTTAAATAACCGATAATAATAATTTAAAAGCAATATAACCAATTGTATCTTTTTTATTTCTAACAAAATATCGATATTAATTCGTAACAAAATATTCATATTAATTTGTAATGAAGTATTTATATTAAGTCCAATGCAAGAATTAATTCATTGTATTAATAAATCAATAATGTAGATATATGTTGTAGGGTGTGGGTGTGGGTGCGGGTGTAGATGTTGGCATAGATGTGGGCGTGCGTGTGGGTCTTAATGAAGTGACATTCCAAACCAAACCCACACCACTCATCTACATCTGCATTTACACCCACACCTACACCCACCCACACCCTAGTACAATATTTTTATTAATCGATGAATTCATCATTAAAATTCTTATGTTTTTTTTGTATGTATATACATGAGTGCCTTTTCAATTTGTTATTATAACTCCTTTTGTTATGCATTTCTTTATTACAAATGCATCATTTTTTATTGCTTTTTTGGCTGTCACAGCACTGGCATCATTGCTAACGTGATGAAGTTGATGGATCAATGGGATATACCGGGATTTTTTTTGGGGATTTATCATTTGTATTGGTTTTCTTAACTGCGCCAAAATTTTGGGTGGATGTGGGGTGTGTGAGAGAGTAGGTATGGGATGTGAATATTTTGCTAGTCCATACTCAAATCACATCCATACTCTCATTTTACAAATGAAAAAAAACAGATGCAGGATATCTATTCAACCCATAGTCTAGATATCAAATACTATCATTTATTAATCACCTTGTGTTTATTGAAGGTGGTATGAGTCATTGCAACCACCAACTATTAAATTATAAAAGTTTGCCTTTTCTCTTTACACTCTTATCCACCAGGTAGCCTTTGTTCTCTCATCATCTATCTTTTCATTATTATATTTTCATCGCGATAGAAAGATGACCGAGATTGATAATGAAGTGGAGATTGCGCCAAAAGAGACTACCTTTACTAATTCAACAAGGGAAATTCGATCAAGAGCAACATCCATCATCAATATTATTGCGGATAGTTTTCATACTTCTATAAATTCTGTTATTCCAGCCGGCATTGAACCGATTGATGATGATAATGATGATGAACTTCCTTTATTTTCAATTCGACAAATATATAAAAATTTAATTATTTTTGCATTAAATTTTGTGTTAATGTTCACTGCTTATGGTGGCATATCCGTACTACAATCAAGTTTAAATATAGAAGGAAATGTTGGTGTTAATTCTCTCATTGTAACTAATGCTTTTTTCTTCGTAAGTCTATTTGACAGAGTTTCATAGTAGTGAAAAATATTTATTTTCATTTATAGGTTAGTTCAATATTCCTCACGCATATGTTAATCGACATTTTTGGACTTAAATGGACGGTGATTATTTGTGAAATAGGTTATATATTCTATATTATTGTTAATATTCGACCTCTACCATCATTGATGTATATTAGTGAGTATTGTGTTTTAAAAAACTGATAAAATTAGTTTTATTTTTAGGTGCCGGTTTGGTTGGTCTTGGTGCAGCGCCATTATGGACATCTCAAGCAACTTATATAAGTCGTATTGCACGTTATTATGCTCATCGTAAAGAGAAAGAAGTTGGTGTTATTGTTAGTTTATTTTTTGGAATGTTTTATGCTATTTACTATACAAATCTTATTTGGGGAAATTTACTTTCATATCTTGTACTTAATCAATCAAGTCAATCACAAAAATTTAATTGTGGAATTCATTTTGATCCATTATCAAAAACAAAAACTTCAGCATCGAACAATGTTAATGATGTGACAGTAAGTGATGAGAGTTTGTTTCTTATAATTTTTTGTTCTATTTAAGCGTTATGTTCTATGTGGAATATATGCTGGACTGGGTATTGTGTCAATAATTCTTCTAGTTTTAGTACTTGATCAAATTCGATTAGCTAAACCACGTAAGAAATTCTTTAAATAAAATCTAAACTAAAGAATTTTTATTTGATAGAATCTGTTAGACAATCATTAAAGAAAAGTGTTGAACTTCTTCAATCTTTAATTCAATGGAAACATCTTAATCAATTATTTCTTGTTCCATTAATAATATGGTCAACAATTGAACATGCATTTTTAGTTGTACAATTTACTCGAGTAAGAAAATGATTTCGAAGACGAACAAGTTTTAAGTTCAATTATTTTAGGCATTTATCACTTGTTTGATTGGCATTCGGTAAGAATTTTAAATGTAATGTTCCTTCGACTTGGAACTCTTGTCTATATTTCTGAGGAATTGGTTTTTTATTCAATCTAATTGATGAATTAACAAAAAAGAATTTTATTCGAATTATCATGACTTTCTAAAGAACGCTTAGATACTTCCGTACGAGGCAACCTTCAGAAAAATATTAAGAACTACACAATACCGATCGATGAAACTTTCAGACAGAAATAAAATTATAGAGTTTGCTATTTATCGAAAGAAATGTTCCAAATTCGAACATCAAAGAAAATCTATTTGCTCATAGTCGAAATTTAGAATAAGAAAAAGGAGAAGTACACTCTCACTCTCATTCACACACTGATTGATGTGCAGAGTACGATAATTAAATGAAATGATATGTCTAAACTGCAGAAGGAGTGAAATAATTGACAAAGATAATTTTCTTTTCTAGCATCTATTAAAATATTTGTTAGGAATATGAATTTTACAACACGGTTTGATGTGTAAATTGAAAAATTTCGGAACATCGGTTTTTTTAAATGTTCCCATCGCAAATATCTTATCACGAAAAATTTTCGGGATAACACAAGATTTTTCAAGATTCAGGACTATAGGAACGCTTCAAACAGACAATCGAAGCTAAAGAATTTTATGAACTAAATTGTTATTCATTTTTTCGGATTGTATGGTTTTATCTCTCATAAGAGGTTCTTTCGATGTAGTACATTTCTCTCAAGTGGTCCAATAAATAAAATCCTATTAAATTGAATGAAATCTGGAATATGTGATGATCAATGAAAGAAAATATATTGTTCTTCTTCGATTGTTATTACATTCCTTGATGAATGTGATGCTTGACATTGTACTACTAAGTTGTTCAATCTTTTCCGAAGAACTTATTTCCAACGTTCATCAATGAACATAATAATGATGTAAGGACAATTTTCTCTCTTTTATTAATCATCATATATCCCAGATTTTATTCAATTAAACAAAACTCTGCTTATTTGACCACTTGAAAAAGATGTCATATGCCGAAAGAAACTTTTATTAGAGAATAAAAACATACAGTCTGAAAAATTCGATAACAATTTATTTTACAAAGCTCTTTAGCGTCGATTGAACATTGTCAAAATACTAAAAGGTCTATGCTTTATGAAGCATCCTATATAAGTCAATATAATGACAACTTTTTTAAATAGTATTTCCTACTGAGTATCTTTGAAGGTTTTAGAAAATTATGTAACGGACAAGTCTCGAAGACTTGTACACTGCGACATGATTGAATTTATAATCTATTAGATGTTTGTAAGTAGCTTTATTGGTTTTGTATTCATTTGTAATGGTGTATGTCAGGTAATGGCTAGTTATATCTTTGATCGTCTTGTCAAATACATCGGTCGACTTGGATGTTTCATAATCGCTACTCTACTAAATTATGCAACGATCATTCTCATGTACATATGAGAACCGAATGCTGATCAAATATACATTCTCTTTATTATGGCTGGTCTTTGGGGTTTTGCCGCTGCTGCTTGGCAATCACAAATCATTGGTGGAATTTTTTATTTATCATATTGATCTTTTAATTGATGATGTACTTTTTTCAGTTGCTTATACAGTCCTTTATGCTGAAGATGATCCAAGTGCTATAGCAAAATATCGTTTATGGCAACCGATTGGTGCTCTTCTTACCTACAGTGTAAATGTTTCTCATAGTCTCTCAAAAAACAGCTAATTTCTTTTCAATTTATTTATTTTTTTGTTTAGTATGCGAGTTATGCTGCCATTAATATGGTGGAGTCGAAATTCATGTTCGATGGAAAAAGAATCAGAGAAAAACAACTATAGTGACTGATCATTGTTGATGGAATTTTATTTGTTATTTTATAAGAAATACTTATTTTTTTATTTATGAAAAATTTGCGTGTAAGAAAATCAATAGTATTGAATACGTAATGATAAACGAAAATATCGTTCGGCTAATGTCGATTAACAATTCTAGATAAGGAGTATTTCGTCATAGACTGTGTTAAGTAGATGTGTAAAATATCGATATAATAACTTATGTCTAACATTACAATTTGTTGATGTTATTGAATTCGAAATTGAAATATTTATTGTGAAGGGTGTGGGTACATCTGTTAATAACATCCACAATCACACCCACGTCCCACATCCATTGATACCCACACCCACACCCTTATTTATCACAAATTTGTCATACATATTATGTGAACTCGAATGTGAAAATGTTTTCATTGATGAATCTACACGGTTGGAAAAAATATTATTCCAGAGGGGCAACACCATCATTTCGAATAGAGTAAATGATGAATTTTATACCAAATGAAAGCCAGTGAAAAACGGGATTTATTGATACTAAATAGTAGGGGCTATGAAGACCTTTGTCTATTAATAAAAGTTGCACCTGCGTCGCGAGCTTCACGGAAAGCGATGCATTTAATTCTGTCAATCACTCTCTCTTGTTCACTATCATAAGTACCGGCCATTCTCAAGTAATGCAATTCGTCGATTTATTAGAAGAACGTATTC